CCTCCCTCCCCTATACCTCTCTCCCTTTCTTCCCCCCTTCTCCTGTGGTTTGGGGCCATGAAGCAGGGGGGTGGCAATACACACTTGAGAGGTCCTGTTGCTGGAGGCCAATGTCCTGTTTTGCTAGCAACCTGAGAATATGACTTGGAAGTCCTGAACCATTTGCCTTCTCTGGCTGAACAAGGTGATTTGATGGGGCTGGCTAGGCAGCATCTGAGCAGTGTGTTCTTCACACAACAGCAGGATTTTGCCGTTTGCTATTCTGATGAGTATTCTGTTGTGTTCCTCCTGCTACTTCCTCCCTCATGACATTTACCCTTAAGATGTGAGAGCTATTCCTTGATTTCCCAGCAGCTGAGATTATGACAAATACATAGGTGGGGTGGTGAGGGGACAAAGCAGAAAAAAAAAGAAAAGACCCGAAACGAAACATACACAGTCTGGACTATGGTTACTATAAAAGGAAGGAAAACAAGGTTGGATAAAGCAAGACCAGCTTAAGTGCTTTATTTGCCTGTAGTTGGTGGGAAAGAGTGCCAGAAGATGGAAAAGGGACATGGAAAGGAAAATGAGAGAGCACTAAAGAAAAACTCTCTTCTGTGTTTTTGACTAGGGTGGATTCTGCAACAAAATATCATCTTTAGCAGACTATCTGAGCTAATGGCCTGATTTTGTTCACCACTAACTTTTTTCTCTAAAGGGGACAAGGACCAAGACCAGGACCATGCCTACATATACTTTCAATCATGCATATACTAAATCGCTTCACGACAGAGTGAAATGTGGTACCTGAGTAGAGGTAGTAGACTGCTAACCCTTGTTCAAGATAACATCAATCAGTAACATGAGAGGCTACATGGTGGTGCAGGGCTTAAAGTCTCAGCAGTATGGAACACCCATTGCACCCATTGCAGCATGTATTTGATCCGTGGCCAGGGAGCTAATCCACATGGCTCAGCAGACTTCTCCCTGCTTGAAGGTTGCTCCCCTGACTAGTGTATTTCAGGAAATCTTTCTGTTCTGCTCGTCTGTTCTAGTGAATCTTTTCACCCCCCTTACCCCCATTCCTCTGCTCTACACCCTAGTTTTTCTACAGAAAATAAGAAAAATTTAAAAACTTGAATTAAAAAATTTACATGCAGTAGCCATGACAGGATGACAGGTAACAATTTTGAATATTTCCTGTGTTGAATACCATCACATATATGTCTTCATTGACTAACTTGTTTATCTCCCCACTTATATCCACTCACACACACACTGTTGATAGCTGTTACAGAGAGCGAGATATCAAGCAGACAAATAGGAAATTTGGGTGGGAGAGCACTTTTTCCTATAAGTAGGACAACAGCGTATTTCATGGATATTTGAGTGGAAAGTAGGCACAGATATAACAGAGTAGCTGTTATTTCTAAGAAGTTAAACAGGCTTAACTTAAACAAGGCTGAAATGTGGTGATTTTGAAAGCTGATGTGATGAAGAAATATGCAGTAATTCAACATTATCTTGAAGAATAATTGACTTGGGGAAACGTCAATATAACAGCAAGTGAACAAAAAGCAGATATTAATAATTATTTATGGCTCTAAATTGAAAAGTGAATTGAGTGAGCACAAAGAAGGATCCTGTTCTCAGCATCTCTGCAAAAGTGGGGTAGTTACACAGATTTATACCTTGTTCAAAACTTTTCCAAAAAAGTTCTAGAAAAAGTAAAATAACTTTACTTTTCTAGTAACTTGATACATAACAGATAAAGAACTATCTACAAGCTCACCTCTAAATATAACTTTGACAACATTCAAGTTTTTTCTAAACATCTTCTAAAGAATAAAAAACATAAAGCATGTACAAAAAGATTTACTATATTTTTGTCCTAATTAGTCTTTACTACATGGCATATCAATTTTCCTTATCAATCATTACATAAGTATTTTTAAAGGTTATTTTATTTATTTATGCATACAAGAGCTGAGGTTCAGGCCAGAGGTTCGAGTATGAGAAGATTCACCAGACAGAGTGGGGAAAATAGGTGGATCTACAGAAATACACTGCTGAGGGGAGCAGCTGGCAAGACAGGAGAGGTCTGCTGTGCCATGTGGGTCAGCTCCCTGGTCTGCAATGAAACTTGTGCTGCAGTGGCTGATGCTGACTTTATAGTACTGAGAATTAACCCCTTGTGCAATCAGGGATGCGCTGATGGTTTAATGGCTACTTATTAATGTGTTTAAGCCCGTATAACTGGGCATAGTTCCCAACATCATTTCTTAGCTGTTTGTTCCATTTCAAACTTTTTGGATCTTATTTCCTTTACCTCTAACTTAGAAAGAATGGTGATAATAGTTTTTTTTTACATATCTTCACTGAAGGTCAAGATGATAATCCATGAAAGAACCTTGTAAAACTATAAAAGTACTGTCTGCTTTAACAATCACAGAGGTCATGTTAGGCAAAAATATAATATTTAAGGTTTTATTCAAGAGAAAAGCATCTAGAATATCAGTTAAATATTTTTTTCAAGTCAAAAATCTTACTTAAAATTCCAATTTGCCTTTCATTCAACATTTTATAATTATGAAACATTTAGCATATAATAGCTGAGTAGAAGACAAGTTCCTCTTTAAAATCTCAGAACTGGCAAACAAGTGTTTCAGATTGCGTGTTTCAAATTGGGTTGCCTTTTCCTTTACTTGCTACAGACTGAATTCCCCAGTGCAGTTCAATCAGTGGGGAAGGTTAAAGGAGACCATAACGGTGGGCTATGGGATTCTAATGCAAAAGGTTTAGGGTCCTTGTAAGAAGACACTAGAGAGCTCTCTTCTTTTGTCATGTGCATATAGTGACAAAGTGCTGTGTCCAGTTCAGGTAGAGAGTGCTAGTCAGCTATGGAATTGGCTACTACCTTGATGTTGAACTTTCAGTTTCCAGAACTGTAAGAACTGTTTAATCCCTCAGTCTGTGGTATTTTGTTATGGCAAAGACTAACTCACACACACACACACACACACACACACACACACAGAATCATTGTGAGAGTTGTAGCAAGAGGTGCTCAAAATTTTTAATTAAACTAAGGTCGAGTTTTCTTTAGCTGTGTATACAACCTGCAGAGATTTGTAGCTGGTTGAGTATGACTGTCAAATATTTTCTCACCTTACACTAGGTGGAGTATCAAATATGCTGTCTGGTCAATCACACACAAAAAAGGAAAATCTCTATTTCTCTATTTTGCTTGGCATATAGACCACTACTTAAGTCTTGTGGAGAGTTCTTTGAAATTAATACTTAGGGCAGGTTATTTTAGATATCAAGATGATCTGTTCTCTATTGGAAATACTTTACTTTTGTTGTGCCAGAGAGGACAGCAAAATCAGAACTGCTGGATATTCAGATTTCCTGACTCAGCACCAACAGAAGGAAAAGCAGCAGTCACCTGAGCAGTTCATGGTAACCATGGAACCCTTTTGAATTTTTCAGTGATCCTTAATTCTATGGAATTGCCAGTGTTATATCTCAAGGAAAAACAGCATTTTTGTCTCATTAAGCAGAATTATCTCCCAAACATGAGCTGTAATACTAAACAGTGAATGAATTATATATTCATTTTTGTGGATTCATTGTGAACATTTACTACCTAAATTTTTATCACCCCAATCAATACTAGAGGATACTATAAGGTATTAGCACTAGCATGTGCATGTATAGAGCAGCAAATTTGAGTCACTTGGCAGACAGGGCTCCAGTTGAGTGAGAGAGGTGAAACTGTCATATCTCAATGCTCATACTATCAAGTGCCCTTTACAGTAATAGTGCTTTTTCTTGGTGATCTTGGTTTGAAATGTCTCCCAAGAATAGCACTGTGTCATGTTCTAAGTACAAGGCTATGACATGCTTTATAGAGAAAATAAGTAGGTAAAATTCATTAAGACCACGAATGATAATGCTGTTGGTCATGGATTTAATATTAATCAACAATGCACATTAAATGTGGTATCTTACAATAGGGTTTTGTACTAATAACTAGTCATAGGGACCCAATCTTGTATTTTTCCTAGCACTAAATTAGTTTGACTTTAGACAATGTAACTGCCAAACAACTACATAATACATGTAGTTGTGAACTACAGGTCAGAATTTATTTTAATGATTTATATATACAAGAACTGGGGTACAGGCCAGAAGTGTGAAGGTGGGGGTGAGAGGATTCACCTGAGACAGAGTGGGAAGCAGAATAGGCAGACTGAAATATATCACTAAGGGGAGCAGCAGATGAAACAGGAGAGGTCTGCTATACCATGTGAGTTGGGTTCTGGTCTGGGGAACTGCTGGGGCTGCTGGTAGCTTCATAGTGCTGTGACTTAACCCCTTGTGCCATCAGGGAGAACCCACACATCAGAATTTATAATGGAATAACTGATGTGTTTTTACAGATTATTTTTTAAGCTTACAAATAATAGCTTTAATACCTATCCATTTAGGAAGGCCGTTCCTTCTGGTTTACTGTCCTTTCCCTTTTACTTCTATTTTCTATCTTTCTAGGGTGATTTCTCATGGCCTCAAAGATCACCTAGAGTTAGACTGACTTCTGACCCAATTTGATTTTTTCAATAGGGATATTTAATCAGTTTATGAGTGTGACAACTCATCTATACCTCTATTTTATGTTGAATTCAATGCTTGCTTACTGTTTTTCTTTTTTTCACAGCTATATAATTTTATTTTTATCTTACCTCAATGTCAGATTCACTTATAATGGCTACATAATGCAATGCCTAGTTCATCTTTCCTCGGCAACATGTACATAAAACACTGCCTCCTTATCAGTGATTTTAAGGTTTTTTTTTTTTTTTGTATGAATCAGAAACATTAAAAACTTGGTAGATACTGCCTTCCCTCTTTCCCCGTTAAAAACAGGAAAATCTGTACCAACCTTATTTGGAATGCTTGCCCACAGTGACAAAGTCTTATATTTAGCTTAAGAATATGGATACTCAGAAAAAAACTCAGGGAAAAAAAACCATTTATTTTCTATACATCAAACATTTAGCATGCTTTTTCAGTTTGAAATGACATAAACTGGTCCAACTTTTAAATCTTACATTTTACAACTCTTCTTACAATTCTATAGATTCTAACATTCTTAATGCTCTTTCGGGATACCGTTTTAAAGCATATTACTAATTTTTCATACAATCGTTTCCCTATTTTTAAGTGTTGGCTAAAGTCAATCATTCAGCAAATTTTCCAAGGATGGTACCTGGGTGATAAACTTTTGAAATCTCTGCCTGTCTGTTTTCCAGTTGCCTTCACACAGCAAAAAATTAGCAAAGTATGAGATTCTTGGCTCAAAATTATTTTGAAATCTTTGTAGATACTGTTTATATTGTTACACATTTACAAGAGAAAAATCTAAGGTTAGATTACTTTTGACCTTTTATAGGTAACCAATCTCCTTTCTGTATGAGTATTTGTAGAAATTTTTATCATTCAAATCTGAACAGGTGTCAACTAGATATATCTTTACCACAGCATCTTTAAGTTTTGCTTTGCCTACTTTTTGTTAAATTTTAACGGTACCCCTTGAGCTTCTTCTACTTGCAGATCCAGTTGTTCTTCGTTCTGGAAAATTTCCTTCAATTAGTTCTTACTGTTTCAGCTTTGATTTTTCCCTGTTTCAGGTATTCATCGTACGTGCAGATCCTATCTTCTGGATCTGCGCAATAGGGCTCTCGTTTTCTTTAATTATTTTCCCCTTTCTCTTCATGCGGTGAGATTTTTTCTTGGTTTTCCTTTACTTCAGCAATCCCATCTTCTGCACCTTCAGGTTCGCCAGCAACCCTATCTTCCGCACCATCAGGCTTGCACATTTCTGCTATCGCCCTTAATTCAACATTTTTCAAGCGCTCTGACATTAACCGCTTTATCATTACGCAGAGATCTTTAAGCTCCCGTACTGCATGATACTCGATTCTTACTCTCTCTTCTGTTTCCACCGTTATATCCGTTTCAAGAGGCGGCATTTTCTCTTGTTTCTTCTGAGCCGCAGTGTTAAAACCTTGGAAACAGTAAACAAATTTAACTCTCTCCAGTTTGTTAACTCAAAGTTTCCCCCTAAAAATTATCAACGGTTTCATATAAAAGATTTTTAACATCTTACCTCAGCAGCTCTTGCTACAGCTCTTGCTCCCGAACGAATCAAAGTGAAGACGCAAGTAACTGCCTCAACGCACCAAGAAAAAACATCCAAAATGGCTCCTCTTACGTCATATCTGCGCGCCCACGCCAACGCCGAAGCCGGGTTGTTGAAAGGGCTCTATCAATATCAGTGCGCTATCAATCGCGAGGCTGCAAACTCCCGCGGGCCAAGCCACACCTCCGCGCCCTGTATGGCTCCTCCCCCTTGCCGCCCCGCCCCATCAAGCAGAGGGTGGCAAGCGAGGGCGCATGCGCAGCAGTCCATGCTCCTCTCTCGCTCCAATGACTCGGCTAAGATCCGGTGCCGCCTTGAAGGCGGGGCTGGTGCACAGCGGCGGCCAATGGGGCTGCGGGTGAGGGTTGAGGGGTGGAAGGTGCTTGCTTGCCGGTGGTGCAGGTTTCTCCTAGCGCGTGTGCTTTGAGCTACCTGGTCGTCATGGAGGCTGTCTTGACTGAGGAGCTTGATGACGAAGAGCAGCTCATAAGACGGCATCGTAAAGAGAAGAAGGAGTTGCAAGGTGAGGGCTGAGTGGGAACTGCCAGGAGCCCGAACCCAAGCTAGGGCGCGTGGCGGGACGCTCCCGGGCAATCTTGAAAGAGCTACTGATGTGTATCCTCCTACTTCCCCCAAGGAAGCCAGTGTCTTCCTTCCCGCCTTTTCTGCCTTGAGGACCCCTTAGACCCCCTAGAGTTTCGGAGGCTTTGGGATTGCCGCGTGCCCCCTACGCCGCGCCGCCGCGGGAGTGCGGCACCCGAGTGCACTGCCCGGCCACTGTCTAGGACCCCGCCTCTCCGCCCTCCTCCCCGCCCCTTTTTCCTTTTCTGTGCCAGTTTCTGAAGCTTGGCCTTAATGGAACGTTTTGAGATACCGAGTCTCTTGTCTTGAGGTCGCAGAGGGATGCTTGAAAAATTTAATGTAAAACTTGTTGCAGTCAGTTATTTTCTTTTTCATCCTCCTGCCACATCAGACAAATTCACGCTTATGTAAATGAATATATATTTTGGTGCGGGTGGGGCTCTCAGCTTCATCTGAACCCTTCTGTGTAACCATTTCCTGTTGTTACTGATTCGCTTACTCCTTGGGTTTTGACTTTTTGATTTTGGTGGCTTTTCAGCCAAAATTCAGGGTATGAAAAATGCTGTTCCCAAGAATGATAAAAAGAGGAGGAAGCAACTCACTGAAGATGTTGCAAAGTTGGAAGCTGAAATGGAACAGAAACATAGAGAAGAACTAGAGCAATTTAAATTAGCATCTAAGGAGAATAAGGTATGAAGAAATGTTGCTTTGCCTATAGCATTTGTAAGCAGTTGTCCTCTTCTGTTAAACTGTTTACTAAATGAATTATCTACATGGAGGAAAATGAAGTTACTCTGTCTGTTCATACATCACCTTTCATTAACTTTTTTTGTGATTAGGTTTATTTGATAGTGTGTCTTTGTAAGATAGTTGAGCAAAGATCTATGTACTTAACTACTAACTTGCCCAAAGATGAAACAGGAAATGTGTTTCAAATCACATTTGGTGTTTCGTCCACCAAATCAAAGTTGGAGTACCAGACTGGTAGACCCATAATTGCCATTACAATAGGATTGGAACCTGGAAAATTTACTTAAACTCCCTGAACATAAATTTTCCACGTATAATATCATGCAGATACTTCTGCTATTTAAAAAATGCACAATATTTTATAAAATCAAATGGTATGTGTAATTTGCATGTTGTAAAAGTTTTTTATAAAGATGTTGGAATGAATGAAAATTTACTGATTTTCTTGGGTAAAATGAAGTATATTGTCATCATTTTAACTAATACTTATTTTGTCATTGTAGTTAATATGTAGAGTATGCCAAGCACTTTGACTGTTACAATTTATTATCTTGTATTATTCTCATAGTAACATACTATGAAGTATTAGGTATGCAATAAGTGTAGTTAATTCTATTTTTTCAGGTGAGAAACAAATTCAGATTAAGAACTGTTTATTGAATTAGTTAACAACATTAAATGTCAGAGCCTGAAATCGAATTCAGTTCTCTTTCTCCATCATGTGAATATTGAATTATTTTATAACTTTGTATAATATGGTAGCTTATCACCTACGTTTTTAATTTAAAGGATTATAGACTTCATAGCCTCACTCAGATTTTGATAGTTAGAATGCTCTTACATTAATGCAAAATTTTATCTACCAAAATAAAATTTAATTTAATTTTATTCTTTTTGTTTTGTTCTTTATTGGTTTGCTGGTGACAAGGAAAATAGCTTGTCTGTACTGATTTTTCAGTGGTAGTTTTATTAAATAGTGTCTCTTTTTTTTTAAGATTTATTTTATTTATTTATGTATAAAAGAACTGGGGTGTAGGCCAAGAAGTGTGGAGAGGGGATGAGAGGATTCACAGAGACACACTAGGGAGCAGTACTAGTGTTCTGCTGAGAGAGTGGCAGTGGGCCAGAGGAGAGGTGTTTCACCATGTGGGTTGGCTCCCTGGGGAGCAGGGCATCAAACTCATGCCATAGTGAGTGTTGACAGCTTGATAGCATTGAGACTTTAACTCCTGCACCACCAGGGAGGCCCTGGTATCTTTTAAAAAAATTTTTTGCCCAGCCATAAACATTCAGGCTTTACATGCTCTTAATATATTTTATTTGCAGGTAATAAGGCCTTGATTCTCCAGGTGTTTAATTTTATATCAAAATCATGGTATTCCTGATTGTCTATTTTCTCTATTAGCAAGATTGTTGTGTTTGCTTTCTTAGGCTTTTCATTTTTGAGATATTTATCCAGGTTTCCAAGGATAAAAATGTTTGATACTTAAGCTACATTTTATCTACCTGTTAATATGCAAACATTCTATTTCTACATTGTCTATAATCTTTTTTTCATTAACTTGTTTTTTCTGAAAGCTACCTGAATTTTTATGTCATTGCTTTCTCTTTTGTTTTTCAAATACTTTCTGTATTTTATCTATAAACAGCTTGTAAATTTTAGCAGATTCTTTGAAAATTTGTAAAACTCCTGATTTTCAAAGTTGGTAAACACTGAAGTTTTAATCTGATTTTGGTATTTTGATCACTTGGGTCATAGCTTTGGATGTTGCTTACTCTTGTTTTTAACAGTTTCAATATATTTGTGTGTAAATAAATACATATTTGTTTATAAAACATATTTATATATTTTAATACAATGTATCACACTAAAAGCTAGTTTAACTTATTGTTGCAAAATAATACAATACTAGCTAACACTTACTGTTATAGGCCTGTTTTTTCTGGATTTTCTTCAGCAAATATTTAATAGCCATTTGATTAGTAATGTTGTTTGTACTATCTTACCAGCAATTACGTTGAATTTTCTACCTGTAATTATTTTGTAGATGGGAATGGATTGAAAAACTCTGCTTGTTAGTAGAGGCAAGAAGCAATACTCCTCAGGTTGTGACTAGTTAAGAGGGAAAGGTCTCTGTTGCCATATTTGAGGTTATGAAATTAATAATGCACCTGAATCAGGACCTTAGAGTACCTCTAATAAAAGTGTTGTCATCACTGGAAGGCAAGGCTTGAGTGTTGTGTGCATTGACATTTACAAGGAAGTATGTAGGTGAATGGAATAAGTGTTCTAAGAAGGAAGGCAAGCATCCAGGCTTTCCTTGAGGAGCTATAAAGAAACTTCTTGGTATCCAGTCCAATGTTTCCTTAAAAATGGAAGAGGAGATAAATCATGTCATCTAATACAGTACCCGATGCTTTTCTCAAATTTGAATATTGTGGGATTACACATTTGTGATTTTTATGAATAATGTAATGATCTATTACTTTGAATAATAATTTGGAAATGTGTTTCATTAACTTGTTAATACTTTTTTGTTTCTTCCAGATAGATTGTGTTGGTGTTGACTTTTCAAATTTGGTTCTTGAGACTCATGTGCCTCGGATATCTAAAGCACAGAAGAGACGGGTATGTTTTTGTTGTAGTTTTTAAGATTTATGTATTTATTCATACAAGTACTGGCGTACAGGCCAGAGGTGTGGGGGAAAGGGCTGTTGAAACGATTCACCAGAGACAATGGGGAGCAGAAAAGGTGGATTTACTGAAACACTCTGTTGTGTGGAGCAGCAGGCAGGACATGCGGGTCTGCCACGCCATGCGGGTCAGCTCTCTGGCCGAGGATAGAACTTCTGCTGCCGTGGCTGTGATTAACCTCACAGTGCTGAGCTTTAACAGATTGAGCCACCAGGGAGGACCCAGGAGACAGGTATGAAAGTCATGTTAACAAATATTTAGCTACTGCTGTGCTTAGGAGTTATATAGGAAGGGAAGAGAAAAAAAAAAAAAGGACATTAAATAATGTTTACTTTCCATGTGCCAGGTACTGTGCTGAGTTAATAGATTATGTGAAATCTTAGTCCTGATGATAATCTTGTAAAATAGAATTTCTTATCCCCATTTTATAGAGAGGAAATAGAGCTAATGCAATGCAAACTAACTTGTAAAATTTTGTAATTCTTATAGGTGGGTGGGGATAGGAAGGGTGTGTGCAAAGAATTTATTTTTTTACAAAATTTATTATGTGTTATTCTAGATTTGATAATTCAGAAACCTCCAAGTGTACATCCAGGAGATGCTAATGAATAAATAACTTCGGTTAAAAACTGTGGTATTGGGGGATTACAACTGAGATGGAAAAAGGCACAAAATGATGTAAAAATAAACTACTATATTAAAATACAAACAAAAACTTGTGGTATTAAGTGGAAAACAAGGATTTAAATCTATCAATTAAACAGAATATATTGTGTACATAATAAGGAAATTAGGAGGCTTCCCTCATGGTACTAGGGATTAAATTTCAGCACTATGAAGCTATCTGCAGCCACTGCTGGAGGGAGCTAATCCAGATGGCACAGCAGACCTCTCCTGTCCCACCTGTTGCTCCCCTTAGCAGGATTCCTGTCCTGTTCTGTTCTGTTCTCCACTCTGTCTTTGGCGAATCCCCACTGGGGTACAGGCCAGAGCACTCACCAGAGACAGAGTGGGGAGCAGAATAGGCAGAGTGACGAAGTACACTGCTGAAGGGAGCAGCAGGCGGGTCAGAAGAGGTCTGTGGCGCCATGTGGATCACCTCCCTGGCCAGGAATTGAACTTGTGCAGCAGTGGCTGCAATAGCTTTATAGTGCTGTACTGCAACCCATTGTGCCACCAGGGAGGGCCCAAGTAAATAAATCTTTAAAAAAAGAAGTTTAAATCCAATCTCTAATCTCAAAGATTGTTTTACTAACACTTGATGCTTTCAGGATTTACATGTTTATTTTAGGCTAGCTTTGTCTCTTACAGTTTAGTAGTACATAATTTAAATGAATGGGAGAATTTATTCCCACTTAATTTTGTGACTTTAGGTGACATTCTTTACCTTTTTCATTTGTATAATTCATGGAATTATTGTGAATGTCAAATAATATATTATATGCAAAGCCCTCAATGCAAGGCCTGAGATCTAGTGGGTCAACAATGATAGTGTTATTTATTGTTCTAAGAACTGCATAATATGGCTCTTAAAAATGTTTACCCAGGAGCAGTGGTGTTTTTTTGTTTTATTTGATGGCAAATGAAAGAGAAAATAGTCAATCATTTTTCTTACCTGTATAAATTTTCATTCGGTAAATATTATGATGATGAATTTAGATTTCATGGCATCTTTGAAGTTATCTAGTTTAACTATCTGCTTATATGCATGTTTTTGTGATAGGCTTGTAATTGTCATCTAGCTTCTGGAGATCAAAAACAAAGGATAGGATTTTTGTTTGGCAATAGCATAACGAAATACTTACTTAATTGCTTCCATTTAGATACACTGAGAATATCTGGAAAACATAAGTACTTAACTCCTTCCTATGTTTATTAATTACTCATTTCTACCTACACCCTTTGGCAACAAGACAAAAGTAAAACTCTTTACCTTTCTCAAACATTTTATGACATTTTCCTGAAATACTGCTTACTTGAAATGAGTACCTTTTCCAGCTGTACCCTCAAACCATTTAGTGTCTTGTATGTGTTAGCACTTGGCAGAGAAGAAGTAGTATCTAGAGTTTTTTTGTTACAGTAATAAAGATTCTGGAACAGAGATCACTAAAAGTACATAATGCTAAAGAAGATATAGCTGAAGAGAGGTGGGCAATTGAGTATTAAACTATTTCAAACTTATATTTTGCCAAAGATATACTTATGAAATAGCTAGTTACAGTGTTTACCTTTGGGGAAAATGGTAGTCTCTGGTAGAAAAACACAATAAAATTTTATGAAGTTTTTATTATGGGAATATTATTGACTGTTGTAGAGCAAATCTTTTTTCTCTAATCTAGAAAAAACATAGGAGTATTTTATTTAAATTAAAAACAAGTGGAAACTTTTCAGTGTGGTGGAAACTTTTAGATATCTACTTTAATTCAAAATAAAATTTAGCAGAACTGGATTCCAAAAACTATGTCTGAATATTAGATCTCTGGTTTTATTTAAAATTCCTCTTCAGAGTTGTTTTGACTATATCAATATGACTATAGTTTATTGACATTATGTTTATGAGTTATATGCTGTCCTAGAGCACATTCACTAAGTTTTATCATTTGACATCATGTCATGTCTAGTATGATGGTTATAAGCTATTGGAAAACTATACATTCCCCAAGACAATACATTATTGGGAAAAGAAGTTAGTGTATTTCCTTAGTGCCCTGAAAAGGAACCACATTTCCTTCAGAATATTAAAGCAAGGCGTGTGGGGGGAAAGAAAAAAAGAAATGGTTGCATTAATATTTTAGAGGCATAAATAGTTTTTCCGACAATATAAAGTTCTACTTTCCAGTAAGACATCATTTATGTGACATCATAGTATGTGACATCATTAACTCCAGCTCTCATCCATCCCAACTTCTATTCTGATTCAGGTGCCTGGATAGAAGGAAGTCAGTGTTGGTTTGGCCCTGTTCTGCTTCTAACCCACTGTATGGCCTTTGGAAGTCTTTCTGCATGCTGTTTCCTCAGAAGGGGAAGTGAGGGGCTTTGGATTAGATAATATTAAGGTGCTTATTCTCCCTCTCCCCTTTGAAACTGGACTTTTAGTCTTTCATAAAGAAAGAGTGCCATCTTGTGTTTTAGGGTTTTATTATGCAGCAATCCACAGTTGTAGGTATGCCGTAAAATAAACGTGTTCATATTACTTCTTGTGTAACTTGAAGAAAACACTTAAATAGGCTTGTGAAGTTAGAAATCGTTTTAGGTTCATCATCCTTGACACATAAAGGCATGTGGCATTAATTTATATAGAAAATTGCCTTTCCCTTCACGGGCTCTCTGTCAAGGAGGAGTTAGAGTGGGCATGAAAATCTTTTATCTTTCATTTTCTTGTGTCACTGAAGCAAGTTGCAAAATATGATACATGATTTCATTTTTTTTTTAATTTAATTTTTTTACTGAGGTAAGATTGGGTGATTACATTTTTGTTACAATACTTATTTGCTATGCATGTTTCTTAGTACATCTGTATTTATTAAATGCACAGGGAAATGCCTAGGAAAACATAGAAAAAACAAACCAGATTGCTAGGGGACTGGCATTGACTAGCAGTGACTCTTAAGGGGAACTTCAGTCTATTTGTAATAGTGTTTTTTTTTAAATAAAGACTTTTTATCTGTTACTTTAATTAAATGTATGAGTTCATACACACCTTTTAAAAAGGCCTCCAGATCCTTTTAAAGGTTTTAGCACTTTGATGCCTCTTTGGTAGCATCTTTGGATAAGTGAAAAAACTTGAATTAGCCTGGAATTAAATTTGTTAATGTTGTGCTTGAAGGCCCAAGGAATCTTAATCTTAAGGAAGTGCTATGAAATTAGTAGGTAAACTTTTTAGGAAGTTGGTGTATAGTTTTTAAAAAATCTTCAATGAATAATTTTTTTTTTTGTCTCAATATAGAGCTAGGTGCTCAGTATAGAGAGGTAAGGTGGGTGCCCTTTAAAAGGGTTCACAGTTTAGAAAACTCTACAAGTGATACAATCACTATTATAATATTTGTGATAGAAGACAACAAAAGGACAAAAAGTTTTGAGGATCTTGTATTCTTAATAAATGTACATTATTCCTACTATTTATGAATTTATTTTTATACATTCTCCTCTTAGGAAAAGAAAGCTGCATTAGAAAAGGAACGGGAAGAAAGGATAGCTGAAGCTGAAATTGAGAACTTATCTGGAGCTAGACATGTGGAAAGTGAAAAGCTTTCTCGAATACTGGCAGCGAGACAGTTGGAAATTAAACAGATCCAATCTGATGGCCACTGTATGTACAGAGCCATTGAAGACCAGCTACAAGGACAGGAAAGCCCTCTGACTGTCGCTGCCTTGAGGAGCCAGGCTGCTGAATACATGCAGAGTCATGTGCAAGACTTTCTGCCATTTTTAACAAACCCTAATACAGGAGATATGTACACTCCAGGTAATTTCTTTTCTATACTATGATTTGTTGTTGCTGTGATAGCTCTGTTGTTAAATCAAGTGCTTCCTGTGACTGCGGATAATTAAAACTCATATAGTCCTTATGGGGATAGAAAGTGTGAAATATTGAATAGATGCAGAATTATTTTCTGTGATTTTATAGGTTTATCACTCTGTATAAGAGAAAAGTAAGAATAGGACTTGTCATCATCGTTAAAAAGTGCATTCTTCAGTTGGTATTTCATGAAGTTAAATTTAGAGGAACCTCGGCTTTGAGCACCCTCTGAAAGTATAGGGCCTGGATCTAAGCAGAGAAAGTTTAGGAATACTAGTTCTGTTTTTTCTCCCATACGATGGGAGAATTCATTTTATTCTCACAGTCTGTGTAGGCAAAGTTTGACTTTGCTTTGAAAAGCAAAACCTAAATGAATTATTAACCCACCTATTTCTCTGTAATATCTTTGATAATTAAGATAAAGTATTTATGGGGAGATATAATGGAGAGAACAAGTGAAAATCTGAAAGTTCAGGGGTAAGGGATATAAGAGATGAAAGTTAGTAGCAGATATGGTAATATATTGTTATGTGGAAAGAAGCTTCATTTCACTTGTAGTTCTACCTTGATTCTCTTCTTACATTTCTTATGACATCTTATATTGAATATGCTGGCCATTTGGGGGTTCATTGCTTGGAAGAAAGAGAAAAGTAGATGTTATTTGGTTAAGGTCCTTGGACTTGAGGCTGAGGGAGATAAGTAGAAATGGATTGCTTTACTCTTGGATAGAAAGGGTGGAAAGTTGGAGTCCATTTTAGTTGGATCTGGGAAATGGATTACATTTTGGAAAGTACAGGTACAGGAGGAAATTCTTAACTCTAGGCAGTTTCATCAGGAATTATGGGAGATATAAAAGGGCTCTTGCGGCATGAGTTATGAAAAATACTAAGTGCTATTTTCTGATCTGTTCTCTGCAGAGGAGTTTGGAAAGTATTGTGAAGATATTGTAAACACAGCTGCATGGGGAGGTCAGCTTGAGGTAAGTTTGTAATTATAGTGGTTGTGGATTGGTAAATTATATTTCAATCCCATCTGTAGTTGGCACATCTTTTTCAGAGGATCTTAATTTCTCTTTGAAGATTATTTTTCTTTATATATTTCCTACTTCTCTACTGACAAAACATTGCAATAGGGAGTTAACATGCCTAGGCCTTTGATTTAAGTACACACTTTAGGGAAGTGAAGCACTATTTCATTTTGAATAATGCAGTGTTTGATCTGTGGCGTGGTGAGGCTGTTGTCCCAGCTATATAACTTTGCAATTGCGATTCTGTTCCTGGCAGTATACTTGATTTTCTGTACTTATGAGTGAAGGTTTTACTCAAGTACTGTGCTGATGAAAATCATGGTTGGAACAGTTAACTCATCATGCCAAGAATAGAAAATAAAAGTATGTGCAATTGCAGGTCAAATCCCATCACAAGACATATGTAATTCTTGTCTTAAATTCTTTAGTACTGACCATCTGCCTTAAGAGCAGTATTGAATGCATTAGAATTTACATGTAGGAAAATAGTATGTTCATTCACTTGTAGGGAGTTAACCACTATTTCTGTTTAACTTTTAATTATTATCTTATTGTTAACTTTGTTTCTCTAAAACATGATGAAGCACTTAAGTGGTCTGAGAGAAGATAAAGCTAGCTTGTGGTATTGGAAAGTGAGAGGATCAGAGAGCAAATCCAGGTCTAGGTTCTAACTTTCCCTTCTACTTCTTGATATTTTGACATCAGGAGAGTTTCTTAATGATTGAATAAAGATAATAAAACACCTGTGTATAATTGGTAGGTCATTTGTGAACATTAAGCTGGTAAGGTAAAATGCTAGAGGCATGAATCTGGTATTATAGCTACTTATTGTATTATAATGGTAGTCATTTTGTGTAGTCTGTGGCTTTTGAGTATTTCACTTTAAGACCCATGTTTGAACATAGAGCATGATAGTTTCTTTGGTCTTTTTCTCAGCACTTATATTTTGTACCCCTTCTGAGCCACCAGAGGGAACTCTGTCCATTCCTTTTGTGTGCCTCTCCTGAGTCTCTGAAACTCAGGAAGATTTCAGTGTACCTTTGTAACCACATTAGGAGTTCCTAAAGATGGTTGAATTTTCTTATAAGAATTGCAGATTAATATGAATATTAGAGACCTAAGCTACTCTTAAAGTGGGGGAAAAAAAAACTTAAAACATTTTGAAAAATATTTACTATCAGTTCTTCTCAAAATTCATTTGAAATAGGAGTTGCTGTGTTCACAGTATTTTAAGTTTAAATAATTAAAGGGAAAATCTTTATATTAGATTTTGAAATCTTAGGAGGGAGGTTGAGATTCCCAGACTTATTCAGATCCTCCATGCTATGCTAGCTTTTAGAATGTATTAATTTAGGTGTAAGAAAACTGTTCTACCAAGGAACATTATGTGAGATAGTATGGGACTAAATTTGCCCACGTGTAGGATAGAACCTTGTTCCTGTTTCTAATGTAACTTCTTATGTTTGTTTGAAACTGGCATGTTCTAATTATGGAGCAAATACTGGATCAGAGTAGAGTGATTGAAGATTATTAATGACTAATTTGTTTATGAACTGTAGCATCAGTCTTCCTCAGTTTATTGCATGTCCCTTAATTTGCTTGTGTTTGAACTTTATGACTTTTTGATCTTTTTCTCCTTAAGTTCTAGTCTTTAAAATGAGTATAACAGTAGTACCTTCTCCTTAAATTATTATAAGCATTGAACAAGTTAATGTGATCTGCATGAAGTACTTAAAAGCACTTGGTCATAAGAAGTCCAAAGAGTATTGTAGCCAGCGTTCACTTTTAACTACTATTCACCCAACTTTATGATTTTATATTATAAGGTGTATAATTTAAGCATTAGTCAGATGGGAATTTCTTGAACGCATAGTGCAATTCATATATATACATCATTCTGCTTGTGCTCGAGAATTATGGGGCAGTGATTCTCAACACTAGATGTACTTTGAATCATCTGACAAACTTTGAAAATAAGGGCTCTTCTGCCCTGTTAGCTCCCATCTTTGCCTTTCTGCTACCAAAGAATAATTGATGTTGTCTATCCCTTGAGCTATTTAAAAAAACTTTATTGTTTTGAAAGTTGAAAACGTTATTTATTTTGGAAATTTCCAAGCATATCCAGAAGTAGACAGACTGGTGTCCCCAGTCTACTCATTCCTTTACTTCATTGTTGGTGACATTGATATTTCTAAAAAGCTGACCTGCAGCCAGAACTTGAAACATTTGCATTCAATTTAATGAATATTATACTTGTTTATGCAGCAAATACGTAATAAGTGCCCATTATGTGCCAACTTCTCTGTTTACAGTAAGGAATAGAATTTATCCCTGATCTGACTGGTTGTATAGCTCAGTAGTTTATGATATAATGGGATTTGCATTTTTATTTTCCTTACAATACATTTTCTTTCCTATAGCTGAGAGCTCTGTCTCACATTTTACAAACACCTATAGAGATAATACAAGCAGAGTCTCCTCCTATAGTAGTTGGTGAAGAATATCCCAAAAAACCATTAATTCTTGTGTAAGTACCTAATTTCTACTGTTGTGTTTTTTATATTTAAGACAAGATTATTAAGAGATTTTTAGGTTGCATATGGTGTTTGATCAAAACAACTTATCTTTAACTGACTTTTATGAAAAGGAAATTACATTAAAACCAATTAGAACACATTGTCAAAATATGTACTTTGGATAATTGTTTAAACTTCTAATAATTTATTCTAGTGTATGAATTAAAAATGAAGTTATTTTTAAAGGCTGCGAAGTTTGAGAATTAGTTTGCATACTGTTCTAACTTGATATTAGTAAGCCAAAAGTTTCAACAAGTATAAAAGCTAAAATAAATTATTATTGCTTAATAGCTTATTTCTTAGATAATTTTTTTTATATTGTACAAATATTATGCATAATTGAGAAATCTCTGAAACAGAATTTACCATTAAGGTAGGGTGTTAATGGCTTAGGTTTAGGTAAAAGTCTAGCCTATAGAATATTAAACATTTCAGTCTTTTCCCCCCTCCACTGGTTTTGTTTTCCTGACTTAGCCTCAGCAGCCAGGAATCTTGAGCTAGATCTTACTGACTGCCGGTAATGCTTTTCAAATGCTGTTGAATTTCTAAGTAATATGTCAGTATAGTCTGTGGGATCCCACCCTGGTGCTGGGTATTATATACCTAGGTATATAAACAAACATTTATATCCAATGAATTAATTTCTTCAAAACTACCCTTTCTTCTTTTTTCATTTCAGATATATGAGACATGCATATGGCCTAGGAGAACATTACAATTCTGTCACACAGTTGGTGAACACAGCTACAGAAAACTGCAGCTAGTTTATGAACTGTTGTCCAATTATGTTTTAGTACAGTGTGCCGATCTGAGTATTCATACCAAGTGTTAGATTGTTCTAGCATCACTGAAAAACACAACTACCTTAAATCAGTTTTATGAAAGCTTACTAATAGTTTTTTTTTAAAAAAATGAGTCAGATAAACCTTAACCGTATCCTGTTATTTTAAAAATACTTTTAAGTTCACTGTGGAGAACATCACACATAGACCAGAATGGTATATACCCTATTCACTGATGTTTTTGTTAATATGGCATCGTGAACATTCTGTTCTGTTTTAAAATAGATTTTGAGTGTTTTTCTCCCCATTACAAAAAGCTTTCAATAATGATTTCAATATAATTTTTCGTGAAGAAATGAAATGACTCAGTCACTGTTACTATACAGTGTGGTGATGGTAATGGCAATGGCCGATTTAACTAATGCTTACTAATGAACTTGATTATAGTTATCTTGGTATTGAGGTTATGGGGATTAGTGCTCTGAAATTTACTAATAGAACTCCATTGAAGTTTGCTTTAATAATTAAGAATTTTAAAATATTTACTCAAGTTGTTAAGTTTTAAGAAATGAGACAGATGCAAAGATAAATAGGCATTCTCTATCAGATTTAAAAATATAAGGAATTAAAACTTAATGTAATTTTAAAAACCCAACAGATTATAGTTTTACCAATTCATTTGTTATTCCTTGCTGTTTCTTAAACTTCTGACTAGAATTAATAACATCATTTCAGACTAAAACTATAAATGTTTATGTTCTTTGTATTTTCTCTGTCGCTCCTCAGCTGTTTTGCTTTTCTTGCAGCTTTTTCCACTAAGTGTCCGTTTGTGGCCTGTCTTCTTTAACTGTTATAAGTTGAAGGAATAGTAACGTAAAATGGTTCAAGGCCAAATTTATTTCATATTCTCCCTCTTTTTCAGTTTGTCTTAGATGTCTCACATTTTGCTTCATTCTTTAATATTAAAATACCTTTGTTACTTGTTGCTGTTATCCTCATTAATGTCATCTTTCCTTTAACTTAGATATTTGAGAATTTTTATGTTACATAAAATATGAATAAAGTTAAAAACCACTGTTTGGGAACCAAGACTGTATAGTAACATCAGTTTACAAAGCTTTTCAAACTGATTTATTCTGCTCGTATTTCAGGTTACTCCTAACCATGCTTGTGCATACAGTCATGTTTTGTAAGGAAGTATTATGAAAATGTGATTTGAACTCTTTTGCCCAATGAGAAACCACTAGTAACAATTAATATCAAGTTTGTAATACTTAAGTTTTTGCTTCAGGGATGCATCTATGTTTTGTAACTAATTATTAGGTTTGTAATATTAAAAATGATGTCAGCCATCAAGTGACAGTGTGGAAAGCAGATAGGAACTCTGGTCACCTACAGGAAACAAGTAAGGTGTAAAGGTTTTCCAATTCAAAAATGTAAATTCTGCCTGCCCAACAATATATTCTGAAGCCTGTCTGTTTTGTAATTCTTGATTTGAATTTTTTGGGAATCCTGAAATTTATTTAAGAATGAGGTTATAAAAAACTTAACACTTTGGTTTTACTTTGAGGTAATGTAACTTTTAAGTTAAAAGATAAACATTAAGTAAAAAAACAGGATAATCATGAAAATTTCATCTATTAGAGTATTCTAAAATAACTTATTGGTAGCTGTTTCTTCCAAACAAGATGAGTGAAATTTTCTTGATTATAAATTTATTATTATTTTTTATTTTTAAATGGACAATATGATTTTGAAGATTTATAATCAATCTGCTTTCATAAAATTTCAGCTAAAAATAATTTTGACTGTAACCTAATATTGGAATCTTTACAAGATGATGGTGATTTTAAAGTAGGATATACTAACTTAGTTTGCTTTATGATGATGGTTTAATGGAGGTTTCATAACCTTTCTTTTGTCTTAACTCAGAAAAATATATGTCAGAGTTCTGGAATATGTTTTAGCCAAGAATTTTATTCACTTAAATATGTTTACAACTTGTAGAAAGCAAAAAAGAATGTGTGACTATAGTGAGCAATATAGTTTTGCTTACATTACTTGATGTTTGCCAAAAGGAAAATAAAGATGAATTAATTAAATCAATACTTGTTTGTTCAAATTGTTATTCTTTTAACAATTTTAGAATTATGAAATGGAGGGAAAAAATTCATTTTAGTTTAGAATTTTCCCAAGCCCTTATTTTTTTCTTCCCATAGAATTGAAATAATACAGATTCTTGCATCTTGGAGATTTCAGATAAAAAGCAGAGATAGCATTATGCTCCAGATAGAATAGAGGGAGGTAATAAAGTAATGGCCATGTAAATGTTGGTTTTTAGAAAGAAGTAAGATTGAAAAAAATAAATTTGTATGTATTTATGTAATTTTTAAAAAAGATTTATTTGTGTATACAAAATTGGGGTACAAGCCAGAGGTGCAGGGGCGGTGAGAGGATTCACCAGACACAGTGGGGAGCAGAACAGGCAGATCAACGAAGTACACTGCTGAGGGGAGCAGCGGGCGGGTCAGGAGAGGTCTGCCGCACCATGTGGATCACCTCCCTGGCAGGCAGGGATCGAATTCATGCTGAAGTGGCTTTAGCTTCTTAGTGCTGTGCTTTAACCCGCTGCACCACCAGGGAGGGCCCATGCATGTTTTTAAGTGGAATCTGAGAGGTTCATCCAGTGTAGTGGTAATCAAATGCAGGTCTGTCTTTTTTTTAGATTTATTTATGCATGCAAGAATTGGGGTACAGGTCAGAGGCACCGGCATGGGGTGTAGAATAGACTGAAATACACTGCCGAGACAGGACAGGTCTTCTCTGCCATGTGGGTCGTCATCTCCCTGGTTAGCCAGGGATTGAACTCCTGCAATGGCTGCAGATAGCTTCCTAGTACTGCACTCTAACCTCTTGCGCCACGAGGGTGGTCCCAAATGCAGGTCTTGTAAACTGATACCATTGGCAAAATAAGAAAATATGGTGTAAGATAATGAGTTTTTCATAAAGCAAGTTTTCATTTTAAAAAAGTGTAGGTTATATCCTTTAACTACAGGGTTTTATGAAATTATGGTGATGAGAGCCAGTTTTTGAAAAGGACTTGGCAAGATTAAGAGTTGACAATAGACCTCATAAACTTCTTCCTGTTTATACTCTGTGAGCCACTAGCATTTCTAAACATATTACCAATATAAGAATTCTTGGAACATTTCTGACAGTTCTCACCTTAACTCTGTATTTGGACCCTCCAGTGAGCAGCACCCAGATACCTAAGTAAAAAATTGAAATGGTAGGTAAAGAGGAGGATGGTGGGACAAGGTTGGCGACAAGAAAACAAGTCGTTGGCATGGTAGACATTTGAGCAACTGTATCTGTCCCAAGAGTAATGTTTGCACCTTGAGATTTGTTAACAAAAAGTAGAGATCTTGATATTAATATATATGTGTATTATTCAAAATAAAACATAATTGCCTTTTGAGCATGTACTATGTGCCAGGCAGTGTGCTAAGGCCTTACATAAGTGGGCTTATTTATTTCTTACAGAAGACAGAAGTTGGTGTTTTCATCCATGTTTTATACAAAATTGAAATTGAGAATGAAGAATTTGGTAAGCCACACAGCTAATAAGTGGTGAGGCTGCTATGAAAGGCAAGTATTTGAGAATCAAATCCCTAAATCAAACCTTCCATTTTCTTATTTAAAAAAAAAAAAAAAGAAACCCAATGTTCTTTATTCTCTTTTACTAAAGGAGGCGTTCATATAGTATATGAAGCATCTATACATGCTTGAAAATGTTAATCCCCAGTCTCAGACACTGTTTTAATCACAAAATAAGCTTGCCAAAATAAGTCAAAAAGTGCATTGGTTTCTTTATTTATGAAACATGTATAACTTGCATTTATGAACTGTTTTTCATGCATTTTTGCAGCTCTCAAAATCCTATAATTAGTCATGGGGCCTCCAGTATAGTAGGAATTAGCCATGTTCTTTTGAATGATGAAGTGTTAATAAACAGAACAAACCCTTTCAATAAAATTAATGGTTATTTTTACCTTTGGGTTCTTGAGATTATAGGGTGCTATATATTTTAGCATTCGTACAGCACTTGATATTTCCAAGTAGTTCATAATCATTAGTTAGATATTTCCCACACAGTCTCGGTGGACTGGATTGGTATTCTTTCTTGTTGTTTTACTGATGAAAAGAGAGATATAGCCAGTTTGACTGACTTGCTTAAGTTTACATAAGTCAATAGCTCTGCTTGGATTAACATTTAACTTTAAACTCCTCGTTCTTAAGCTGAGCTCACAGACTGATGCTTTAAAAAATACCAAACTAGTGAATTTTTTCAAATTTCCTGCCAAATGGATGGGGTTCTGGTTGCTGAGAAAGCACTGGATGCTGACATTCCATGGACTAACCCATATAGAAGACAGATTCCCTCGCTTCCTATAGCAGACAGATTACTTCGCTTCCCATATAATATAGCAGACAGATTACCCTGCTTCCAGCTGGGTGTTCAGAGAGTGGCATGTTGAAACTCAAAATGTTGAAATATCAAACCGTCTGCATTTTTGTATTTCTCCTCTTGATGTCTTTGTAAACTTGGGTCTATGCCAGAGCATATTCTGCCAATACTCACCTCTCATTTCTCCACAAGTTAAAATGGCTTCATTCCATTAATGCATCAGTCAGTCCAGATTCTAGTCATAGTCTTGCCCATGTGGTACCTTATCACTATCTATCTCTATAGTCTCTTATTCACTTAGATTAATCCAGAAGCTTCATAATTGCTGTCCCTGCCTTCAATTTTACTCCCTTCAATTCCCCCTTTCTTCATGTTGCTAAACTGCTAGGAATGCAAATAGGACATTGCCTTCCCAACCTGGACATTTCAGTGGCTCCCCATTCTGTGGGATGAAGCCCGCTCTACTTACCGTGACATTTCAGGGAAGTCCTTGACTGGTTCTGTCTATCTTTTGATATCACCTCCCATTATTCCTTCCTGTAGATTTATACACCAGAGTTATTTATACTCCTCATGGCCCTGTGTATTTCATGTCTCTGAAAACCTTTTCTTTTTTCCATGCTGCTTTTATTTAAATACTTTCCCCCCGTCATATTTATTCCATCAACTGGTTAATTATTTTTGCTCATTGTGACTAGACTCAGCAGTCAACAGTAAGAAATAGTTGCACCAACATCAAGTTATTTGCCACTTTGTGTACTTACAATAACATTTAAGTATTGAAATGTTGACTTTTTTAAAAAAAAGATTTATTTATTTATGCATATAGAACTGGGGTATAGGCCAGAGGTGCAGGAGCAGTGAGAAGATTCACCAGAGACAGAGTGAAGAGCAGAATAGACAAATCCATGAAGTACACTGTTGAGGGGAGCAGGAAGCAAGACAGGAGAGGTCAGTTGTGACATGTGGTCACCTCCCGGGCGGGGGATCGAATTTGTGCTGAAGTGGCTGTGGCTAGCTTGCAGTGCTGCACTCTAACTGCTGCGCCACCAGGAAGGTCTGAAATGTTGACATTTTATGCTATAATGGCATCTCAGTGTTATGGCAACTTAATACATATTTGATGAATTAATGACATTCATATTTATCACTTCCCTCTAGATCCCCAGCTTCTCGAGGACAGTGACTATAGCTCATTTATATTTGTATGCTGGGCATCTTGGACAGTGCCTGACAAATGTTACTCAGTGTTTTTGACTTCTGTGATATTCTCCCTTCTTATTTACTGTATTTGCACAAGCATTAATTTGTGTTACTGATGGACTGTATATGTGATGTTCTTGCAGACAACAACTAAGCTTAGAATTTCAGTTCAGTTTAATGAACATTTACTGAATACCAGCTCCATGTCAAGCAATCTGTACAGATAGCAGTTCAAATGTGTAGCAAGGGGGAACTATAAAAAGAACAGTAATATAAAATATTAAATGCTAAAATGGAATCTGTATGAGGTCCTGAATAGGTCTGAGAGTAAATCTCCCTGGAGAGAATGTCATGGTTCAAGGAAAATGATAGAGGAAATACTTAGCAGATTCTTCAAAGGATTAGGAACTTTTAGATCGATAAACAGGTGGAAAAAATATAAGGATGAATTAAACAAAAGAGAAAGAGTTAATATACTTGATGCTATTGAGGAGTAGCAAGTGGTTTCTGAAAGGCTGAACATAGGGTTTGTGACAAAAAATAAAAATCACATGTGGGTTGGCTGGGACTCAATTGGTGAGGTTTTGAGTCCCAACCTAGTAGCTTACAAGCAAGGAGAGGTCATTAAATGGTTTCATGTTAGAGTTACAGATTTATTATAGGAAGATGAGAGATGGCAGTTGCAATGTATATAAATGCAGTATGGCACAGTGTATAAGGGGAAGAGGTAAAGGTACTGAAGCTTTTTTAACATTTTATTTGTAAGTCAGTCTTAACTCTGATCAAACAACTGACCACTTCAGACTGCCTGTTGCCATCTGGCTTCTAGGTGGGATGTTCTCAGGATGTCTTGTCAGGCAGAGTTCCGTGGTGGGCCTGAGATCCTCTCTGCAGCTTGGCTTTGGGCTGATCCTTTGAAAGCTGGCTAAGGTGGTAGTGGAGCTGAGCCAAAGTTATCTGTGTCCACAACTTACTTCCCACGCTCAGTGGGAGATGATGCTGTGTCTGCCTGTCCTAGGCTTATGCTTACACTTTGCCTGGTTCAGTCTGTTAGAAGTAAGTTGTGAAAAGCAGTTCACAAACACTGGCTTAGGGATTGAAGAGAAATGGCAACTCACAAGCTTAACACTGCTGAAAAAGGAGGAAGCAATCGAGAGAGACATCTTTAGAAAATGACTGGAAGAAGAGTGATTCTATATACCTGCCCCCACAGACTTGTACACAAGTTGAAGAGGACCAATCTGATATTGATGGAGGAATGACCTTCCTCTGGTTCAAGGGCTGAGGATCCAAACATTGAAAATAAAAAGAAGTGATAGTAGAGATAATAAAATGCTTGATTACTTGATTTCCATCCTGAGGGTTGCTGTGGTCAGTGGATGCAGGGACCCTTCCCTCAACTGATTGCGCCACCTTTACTTCCTGGACA